TTAATATTTGACAGTAAGCTGAAGGAAATGATCTTTGTAACAAAAGTTCCTCCTTTGAAGCACCTTATAAATATCAAACTGAGCTACTGATAATCCAAAAATTATGCCTTCAGCCTATGTAATGGTTTCAAGCCATAAATCTAAGGTCATTCCTGTGACTTTACATTGGAACAGAGTAAGACCTGTAGTTACACTAATAGAATTACTGTCAGATAACTGGATATACCCTAAGGTAGAACTAGCAGAACATGTTAAATTTATCGTGAAAATAGTCTTATATAGACTAATTCTGTATTTTATGGGTCATAAGTGCATATTGAGCTGATCAATAACACTGAAAAAGAAAAATACCAGACGGAAATAGATTAAGCTTCAAATATTCTCTGGCTTTTTAATCTGCTCTCTGACATGTTGGAAAATATATTTGGCCTCTATCCTATAACAACAAAGAATTCACCTTTGAGTTACAGCAAGATGTAGAGATAACTATTTTGTACCTATGTTTAAATGCCTTATTATGTTCACCTTGAGTGATTTTAAAAGCTAAAGTCTGGTATAATATAAACTAGATTTTATAATTTAAAGTCTCTTAAAAGAAAGCAGAAATATCAGAAAGCAATTTAGCATGCAGTCACAATCATAGGACTACTACTGTGGTTGTGACAGTTTCTAGGGGACGATTCAACGTAGATATTGTGAGTACGGTGCTATCTAGGCTGAAGGTCTACCATTGAAAGGAGGAGAATTTATTCAATTATTCCATTAAAAAGGGGTTTAAAGAGATAATGGCAATTCTGCAGACGCAGTTTAGGAGCCTTCTAGTTCGTCCTCCTTGGATGTTTTTGCCTCTGCCCACAGGTCAATAAGCAAGGAAAAAACCCTGGTACCTGAAAGGGTCTTCCCACATCATTAGGAATATTAGAAAGGTCAGATGAGGTCATCCTTCTAATTAGTAACATACTATTTGTGGTTGTAATGGACAGTAAATTTGGTAAGTGCTGAAAACCAGCAGCAAGGGCTTTTAATACCAAGATGTACAGGTATCTATGCACAGACATGTACATATGTGTTCATTAGTACAGTAGTCCCCTCCTTATCCGCAGGGGATACGTTCCAAGACCCCTGTGGATGCCTGAAACCACAGATAGTACCAAACCCTACATATACTATGTGTTGTCCTATACATACTTATCTATGATAAAGTTTAATTTATAAATTAGGCACAGTAAGAGATTAACAACAATAAATATTAATAGAACAATTAATTATAACAATACAGTTGGGCCCCTGTATTCACAATTCTGCATCTGTGGATTCAACCAACTTTGGATTGAAAATATTTGGAAAAAAAAAGAAAGTTCTAAAAAGCAAAATTTGAATTTGTCGCATGCCAAGCACTACACTGAACCCATGCAAATGAAATGATGTAGCTTCCCACCATTTCACAGATCCTCAGTCTTTCTCCAGCACTTGTGGTTTAAGCATTGTTCACCTCACATCCTGTCATTATTTACATAGCATTTACACTGTATTAGGTATTATAAGTAACCTAGAGGTGATTTAAAGTATATGGGAGGATGTGCATAGGTTGTATGTAAATACTCGGCCATTTTACATAAGAGACTTGAGCATCTGGGATTTTGGTATCCACGGGGGTCCTGGAACCAATCCCCCATGGATACTGAGGGACGATTGTATACTGTAATAAAAGTTATGTGAATGATGGAGCAGGAAGGCATGAGATTTCATCACACTAAGCACTCATTTAACATTTCGGACTGCAGTTGACCTCGGGTAACTGAAACCTCAGAAAGTGAAACCACGGATAAGGAAGGGGGGGACTACTGTATTAAGTCAGATTCAAGATAAGGTGAAAGAAATGTTCTTTTCAAGCCCTGAGGAATAAAACCATGAAATGGATGAAGAAGGAACCGAGCTGCATTAAGTTGTTTTATGTTTCTTTAAATCTTGCTCTGTGAAAATCACATTTCAAGATTTAGCCTAAGAGAATGCAGTAAATTTTATGTTTGTTTTAATAATACAATAAAATTATTCTAAAGTTCATATGGAGGAACAAGAAGGTAAGAGTAAAAAAATGATAATGAAGAGTAATAAATGCCTAGTTTAATAGATAATAAAATGTATAATACTACAATACATGGGTTTCACCACATCTTTGATATGGTGAAAAACGGGCGAAATTGTGCACTGCAGATTAGTAAGCACAAGTAAACCCATGTGTACTTTGCTTATTGGGTAATCTGTCCCTGAAAAACGGAAACTTTTGTAGGAAAGAAAAAATTGGTATAATTAAGTGGAAAGTATACTATAAATCTATCTTTCTCATTTTATCACTTCTATAGTTATGCAAAGCTCTTAAGAAGATGACAATTTAGTTGAAAGCAGAATGGTTAAAAATTAGTTTATGATGTAATGAAACTATGTTGCAGTGTTTATTAAGCAGTTTGTATTGCATTATTTATACAGAAATTGAAAACATGTCACAGAGATCATTTGGGAGGTTAGCTATTTCTAAAAAAGCACTGATACTGTAAATGTTATTTTCATATTAGAATGTGAAATCAAGTAGTGAAAAAGTAGTCATCTTCATCATATCTGAATAATTTTGTATTCCTATAATTATAGGTATCATTAGACTTATATCTACTCAAGCACACTCATTCAGAGTGCCACTACCTGAATTTGACTAACGATTGCAACAATAACCACTAACTGAAAATTAATTTAAAATCATTTAAAATTTGATTTAAGAAATCAAAGCAATTTTGAAAGTTGACACTTCCCTCCCCAGTAAAACACCTGTTTTAAGCTGCATATAAAGCTCTAATATTACCCTGGGTGCATGAAAGTTACCAATCTGTTTAGTAATGTTTAGAAAAGGAAATAGTTATTTCTGACCAATTTGCTCCTAGACACTCTGCATAGAGCCAGAGATAAAGTTTAAATAAACTTATGGGAAAACTGCCAATTACATTGTAAAGTAAGTACAACTGACTAAAATGATCGGCAGTTTTTAAAAGTCTGAAAGAAAACAACATAATTGCTGAAGTATGCATGTAAAATTACATGACTACAGATGAACTTCTATGTTTCCTTTTTCTGGATTATAGAAAACATTTCAATGCACTTTCTTTATTCTTGTCCCGGGTATCAGGAAACTCAGAGCTACCGTTAATACTCAAATGCTAAATCCTATGTCTAATTGGTTTGCAATCTATTTATAATAACATTTCTCTTCTTTATTTTAATCTTCCTACATGTTTTAAAACTTTAGGCCACTGGAAGAAGGAAGGATGTGAATTGTAAGTGTATTTTAATAAATAATACAGTCCCTTACTATGACATGGAGAGAAGGTGATACTGAAACTTAGACCTGAAGAATAAGAAGGAGGTGCCATAAAAAGAGGGAAAAAAGAACTTTCTTCGCTGACTGAACAAGCCCAAAATCCCTGAGGCCAGAAAGAGCTTGATTAGTTCCAGGAACTGAAAGGAAGTCAAATCAACTGGAGAATGGTGAGCAAGGAAATAGAGGAAGAAGATGAGGCTGGAGGTGTAGGCAGGGGCCAATCATGAAGGGACTTGTAGGCTGCTGCACGATTGAAGCTGAGCCACTGAATGGTTTGGGGTGGGGTACAGTGGGGGCTAAGCGGGTGGGACAGAAGCAGTTTGCATTTTGAAAAGTGCACTTTAGATGGAGGGTAAAGAATGGGCTGGAGCACGGCAAGAGTGTATGAGCGATCATGGCAGTGCTCCAAGGGACAGATCAGTGGACAAATCTGAGATATGTTGAAGGTGAACTCACAGAAGCTGTTGGTGGAGTAGATGCTGGGAATGAGGAAGAGAAAAAATTCTGGACATGTGGAAATGGGAGGAGGGGATCAGGCACAGAAGCCCAGGTCCAAGGGGTGGAAGGGAAAGAGCAGGTGCTTGTAGCAGTTTAACAATGAATAGCTCATTTTAGCTGGAGCATAAAGAGCACGACAAAAATAGCTGGAAAGGATTGTTGTTCCATCACGGTAAGCCTTGGATGTAAAATCAAAAATGTTTAAGCTTCGTCCTGTAAGAAATGAGGACCTATCAAAGGTTTCTGAGCAGGGGATTTGGTCCTAAACAAGTCACTCTCTGAACCTCGATGTTTCATCTGGAAAAATGGGGCTAATTTTACTGGTCTTACCTCCACTCAGTGTGTGAGGATCAGAGGACTTGACCTCAGGGCAGTACAGCCCCAAGCAAGGTTTATTACTCAGCAGCAGAACAGCTGTTTCCAGTTCTTTCAGAAGAATGTGTGTCTCAGAAACACCTGACACATGATATTTCATCTCTGTGGCAGGGCCAGATGGGAAATCTGAGACAGAAAATGTACGCTTCAAAACAGAACATATTTTAAAGTTCTCTTGTAGCAGTCAAATCAGATCTGTATTTGATTTCATTTTATTTTGTTTAGAATGAAATAGGGACTGCAAGGAAGGAACGGCTGTTGGAAACAAAGACGGGGAAAGAATATAAACAACAGATTGCCTGACCGTCATATCAAGTACTAAGACAGGGTACAGGAGAGAGAATGTGAGCAAGTGTGTGTGTGTGTGTGTGTGTGTGAGTGTGTGGGAAAGGGTATGTGAGCAAGAGTGTCTACAAACAAGCATGTGAGTGTGAGTGTTAGTTCCAGAGAATGTATATGTATGTGTGTGAGTGTATGAATGTGAGTCTTTATGAGTGTTGCAAATCTGTTTGTGTGTGTGTCTGTCGGGGGAAGTACGTGTTGGGAGGGGCAGAGGGAAGAGTTGGAAGGGGGACAGAGAGAAGGCACTCCAGCAAAACGGCTGACCTGTCCACACTTCTCCCACCAGACATGGTGCAAGAACAAAGCAAGCCGGAGACAGCCATACCAAGGCTCTGCCAGGACTGCACCACCACCTCCTGCAGGGACACCAAACCTTTACAGTTACAGACAGAAATCTCTCCTAAGCCAGGAGCCTTACCGGGCCGAGCTGTCCCGAGAGCGCCGAAGCCATCTTGCCACCATCTGTTCTATTCTGTGTGCTTTCCGTGTCTGGAATAAACTGCTCTCCAGCTCTTCCATTTATCTGAAACAAAGAAGAGTTTTCTTAAGAAGCTAACCAAAATATTTTGAAGTGGAGTCTGACAAATCATTATGATGCTTCCTGAATTTGCCCATTTTAAGACATACTAATCAAATAACTAGTACTCTCTTTCTATCTGAAATCAACATGAATGGGTGTTCAATGTCCAGAAGAGCGAACAACTTTAGCAACCCTCTGCCCTAAAGACTCCACAGTCTTGTGGTAAAGAGATTGGCCTTATATCTTAAACAGCTAAACATAAGGATTAGAGAATAAAATACATAATGTTTTTCAAACTTTGTGACGCCTTACTGCATTATTCTCCCCAACTGCCACTTCCAAATACGTGTGCATCCCTGAACAACGTAGTTCAGTTGTGCCTGCATTGGAAACTGCACGTACATGAAGCCTTCTCAATCACATTGTGCATATTTCTCTGGGTGTTGCCTCTTTTGCTCAATATTTTATATTTAAGTTTTGAATAGGTAATTCATTCATATGGTTCAAAAACAAGACTGTAAAAAGAGATATACAGTGAAAGGTCTCCCTTAAATTCTAACCTGCCCCCATCCACCCAGTTCCCATGCCTATACAAAATCACTGCTCTCAGGTCCCTATTTGTCCTTCCAGAACTTCTTTTTGCCTAAGCAAGCAAATAAAATATCAATTTTATGTTTCCTCTTCTTAACACAAAAGGTAGTACACCATACACATTGTTTTGCATCATGTTTTTTCTCCTTAGAAGATAGATCCTTGAAATCTTTCCACATCAGTACGTGAGGTACTTTTTCATTCTTTTTGACAACTACTGAGTACTGCATTGTATGAATGTACTTTAATTTAAAAAGTAGCCCTCTGTTGATAGACATTTGGGTTGCTGCCAATCTTCTGCTATTATAAACAATGTTGCAGTGAGTTATGTTGCACATATTATCATTTCTACATGTATGCAAGTATATATCTGGATAAGTTCCCAAATACTGAATTGCTGGTTCAAAGGTTATATTTATTTGTGCTTTGATATTGTCAGGTTGCCAAGAAAGAATACTTGAGATCAAAGTTTCATAAAACAATACGTATTAATATTTTTCTATTTGAATCTATTTCATTTTTTTAAATATTAGTCTCAATTCACAAAACTAATTTCACAATCTAATAAATAACTATCCAAAATAAGATATGATATTGGGAAATAACCATGGATATAGAGGAAATGAAAAAGAATTATAAGAAATGACATTGTTTAACAGAGGAGCCCTGGTGGTACAATGGTTAAGGGCTCAGCTGCTAAGCAAAAGGTCGGTGATTCGAACTCACCAGCTCCGAGGGAGAGAAAATCTGGCAATCTGCTCCTAGAAAGATTCACAGCATAGGAAACCCTATAGTGCAGTTCTACTCTGTCCTATAGTGTCACTATGAGCTGGAATCAATTTGAGGGCATAGAACAACAACAACAGTACGTTGTTTAACACTACATAAATAAATCTGAAAACCTGGATGACATGGACTGTTTTCAAGGATAATATACATGATCTCGGATGACCCTAGAAGAGATAGAAATCTAAAAAGACAATTACCATAGAAGGGAAAGTTGTTAAAGAGCTAACCCTCCAAAAAAGTCCCAGGCCCAGACAGGTTCAAAGGTGAATTTTTCCAAATCTGTAAGATATAGCTCACCCTAATGTTTTTTTTTTTAAGTTTTTATTTTGGAATAATTATAGATGTATAAAAAATGTTGCAAAGATAATGTGGAGAGTTCCTACATACCCTTCGTTCAGCTTTGCCTAATGTTATCATTTTATATAATCATTGTATCTTGGTCAAAATTAAGAAATAAATATTGGTTCAATACTATTAACTAAACTACAGACTTTATTCAGATTCACCAGTTTTTCCACTAATGTCTTTTTTTCTGGTCCAGGATCCAATCCAGGATATCACTGCATTTAGCTAGCTTAATTGTTTTTCTCTCTAATGCTATTGTAACTATCCTACAGCATAAAGAAGAAAAGCTTCCAAATACTTTTTAAGCAGCCAGTATAACATTGATACCAATTTTGACAAAAAAGAATACAATAAGGTTAAAAATACAACCAATTTCCCTTATGAATATCAAAGTAAATATCCTAAATAAAAATATTAGCAAATAGATCTAGCAGTAATGAACAGAGTAATACTGGGATCTATACCAGAAGTGCAAGGAAAAGGAAGACATGGAAACCCAACAATGGATCCATAACCAAATAACCTTGACCTTCAGCAAAAGACTTCCAAATAAATACACATTTATATATTTAAAAATATAGACACCTTTAAAAAGAATATTACTCCCTTAATCAATTTTTAAAAATTGACCTACTACTGCTCCCAGTTACATCAGGTAAGAGGGCTTCCACTGGATTGTCAAAAATCTAAAGACAGCATTCTGGAAGAACTCCCCTCAGCTGCTTGTGCACAATCATCCAGCCAGGTAGAAGCTGGGCAGTGAACCAAGGAGACAGGCAGCGCTCAGGAAAAAGACTTCTCTCTCGCTAAGTTTCAGGATCTTCCAGTCTGTAGGGTGAATGGCCTGAACTGTGGACTTCCTTTAGACAGAAATGTAATAAGGACCCTAAGGGCTTGCTAAAGGAAGAGAAAGTTAGGGCTCTGACTCTGGAGGTTAGCAGGCTCTTAGAGGTACAGACAGTTCTACAAACTACCACATGTGGGAACTACTGCCTTAGCTTTGGGGAACTGCCAGGAGATATGGATTCCAGTCCTGGCCAAGAACCTGCTGCAGTTAAGGCAAGCCCCTTCCACTCTTTAGGACTTAATTTGGGTTGAGCTAAATAAACCTCCAAGGAGCCCTGGTGGTGCAGTGGTTAAGCACTTGGTTGCTAACCAAAAGGTTGGTGGTTTGAACCCATCAGCTGCTCCGTAGGAGAAAGATGGGGCAGTCTGTTTCCATTAAGATTTACAGCCTTGGAAACTGTTTTAGTCATCTTGTGCTGCTATAACAGAAATACCACAAGTGGATGGCTTTAACAAACAGAAATTTATTCTCTCACGGTTTAGTAGGCTACAAGTCCAAATTCAGGACATCAGCTCCAGGGTAAGGCTTTTTCTCTCTGTCGGCTCTGGAGGAAGGTCCTCGATATCAATCTTCTCCTGTCGAGGAGATTCTCAGGCGCAGGGAGCCTGGGTCCGAAGGACGCACTCTGCGCCTGGTGCTGCTTTCTTGGTGGTATGAGGTCCCCCTGTCTCTCTGCTCACTTCTCTCTTTTATATCTTAAAAGAGATTGGCTTAAGAACCTAATCTTGTAGATCTCATCAATATAACCGCTGCTAATCTGTCTCATTAACATCATAGCGATAGGATTTACAACACATAGGGAAATCACATTAGATGACAAAATGGTAGTCACTCATACAGTACTAGCCAAGGTGACAGATATTTTGGGGGAACACAATTCAATCCATGACAGAAACCCTATGGGACAGCTCTACTCTGTCCTACAGGGTCACTATGAGTCGGAATTGAGTTGACGGCAATGGGTTTGCTAACAGGTAAATAACCTCCAAGATTTCTTTCTGTATTAATATTTTCTCTCCTCACCTCAAACCTTCAGGCTTAAACTGCTTACAGAATAAAGTCTCAACTCCTCAGCCTGGCATTCAAGGCCCTTCATAGTCTGGTCTACCCAACTGGTCCTACTGCCCCATCTTCCACTGCTCCTCTTAATTTACCCCACAATCTCGCTACCTTGAACCTCTAGCCAGTCTCTGCACATGCCGTGCACTTTACTACCTCTTGTCAACTTTATCTGCCTGTACCACACTTCTCCCCAAAACTGGACCACCCACCACTCACACCTTCCCCTATGATTTTCCTGCCTCCGTGGCTTTGCTGGTGCTGTTCCCTCTGACTGAAGTGCCCTTTCAGCTTATGTCTGTGTGTCCAAGTCCTTCCCAGCCTTCAAAGACAGCTTAAAAATCTACCTCTTCCAGGAAGCCCTTCCTGAATCCCACAGCCAGCAGTAGAAATTATTTTTCCATAAAAGGAGAATATCAAAGATTTTCTAAATGAATTTTCTGTGAGTCTTGACTTAGCTGAAGACTGCAAAGTACTTTTTTATCATGTTGTTTTTCCAAAGGTGTTATGAGGTATATAAGCAAGACTATATCAGTTTTATTGTGATATCAGGAACCCTTCTCAACAACACACCCATAGTAGGAAATATACCTAAGTTCCCCTTTTCCAGCTTCTAAAGGTTACCTGCTTCCTGGGCTCAAAACCTCTTCAAAGCCAGCAGTACAAACAAAACAAAACAAAACAAAACACTGCCATCGAGTCAATTCCATCTCATAGTGACCCCATAGGATTTCCAAGGCTGTAAATCTCTACAGAAGCAGACTGCCTCATCTTTCTCCCAAGGAGCCGCTGGTGGTTTCAAATCACTGACCTTTCAGTTAGCAGTTAAGTGCCTTAACCACTGCACCACCATCTTCAAAGCCAGCAGCATATCATCTGCAAATCAACCTTTCTCTCTCTCTCTCCTCTGCTTGCATCATACTTCCTTCTCTGGCTCTGACCTTTTGGCTTCCCTCTTAAAAAAACCCTTGTGGTTACATTGGGTCCACCCAGATAATCGAGGATTATTTTTCCCATCTCAAGATCCTTAACTTAATCACATCTACAAAGTCTCTTTTGCCATGTAAAGTAACATATTCACAGGTTCTGGGGATTAGGACATGAACATCTTTAGGGGACTCATTATTCTATCTATCACACTATGGTTTGCCTACAGGAGCTAATAATATCCTATTTTTTTCAGAAGCCAGTATTGGTTGGGTTTCTATTACTTGCCATTTAAAGTCCTGATTAATTCTACGGACATACTGAAATAAGTAACCTGATTTTTAATGGGTGGGTGAGGTGAGAGGATCTACTAACCAGGGCATATAAATATGAAAACAGAACACCTAAACTGATCACTCTGAAGCCTAAAGAGTTAAGAATTTCA